TCATCCCGCAGGAGTTGTAATGCTTAAATCAGGGACACCTGGCACGGGAGCAAGCCCTGTGTGCACATCCAGGCTATCCCGGGTGGAGCGGCCAGGCCAGCACACAGCCTAGGCTGAGGGACCCTCCCCATCCTCAGTGTCAGCAGCAAAAGCTGATAAGCACCAAGAGCAACAAACAGGGGCCTAGCCCAAGGTCCTGGACCTTATCTTGAAAGCAGGAGGCACACTGGGAACCTGACCAGTGTGACCAGCACAGGAGATGCATTCAGCAGCAACACTCCAGCTGCTGGCTTCTCCATGCCCAGGGCTGGTGATGCCCAGAGCTGCTGACAGGAGTTTGCCCTCTCTCCTCTCAGGGCTGGGTGAGCAAGACAGACACTGGTGTGCTGAGAACAGAGTGGGAGCCAAGGCAGCACCACTGTGCGGAGACATGGCCCTAGAAAAAAGGCGCAACAACAAAATCCAAGAGCATCACCTGCTCCCTCTGCAGTGAGAGACCTACAAAGCAGAAGAAAAGCAAAAAGCCTGAGGAGCAGACATCATTAATCTCTTGACATCAGCACATCAGGAGGGTGCTCTCTGCCTGGATCCTGCTGTGGCCCATGAGACAGCACAGCTAGCAGTGCCCGTGGCATGAGCGAGAGGAGGTCACTGCATCCTGCTAAATTCCTGCTGACACCACCCCTTGAATGGCTGTCAGCCTCTTCTGCAGCTGCATCTGGGGACTTGGAAGCTGACAAAACCCTTCCTAGGGAGCATCTGGTACGCCTCACTGTAAATATTTAACAACAGAAAGACAGGAATCGAGCGCCAAGCGCCTGCAGAGAGACCCTCCAGCTCCAGTTCACACTGTCTAGGAGGAGACTGTGCAGCTCCCAGCGTGCAGTGGAGGGGGAGAGGGGTTGTACAAGGCAAAAGTGTGAACTCTGCACAAAATATGCCTCTGGAAAATCTGTCATCTCAAAGAACAGAATGGGTTTCCAGAAAGGAGACTGTGATGTAATTCAAATAGCATCAGTCCGAGTCCCTCCCGCTGTGACTCCTGGACCTTCCTGCTACTCTGGCAGAGGCATCCCTGCAGGACCAGAGTGTCCCCTGAGCAGTGGCCATTTGCTAAATGACCACTTAACCTTGCCCTCAGCCTGCACAGCTGCAAACCTGCCTCCCAGACTGCACAGAACAAGAAGAGACTGAGCATCAGCTCAGCTTGTGAGGTCAAGGAACACAAAGGCAGCACCGTGCAGAAATCCAGCTCTATCTCCTGGGGCAGGGGACAGTAACAGGGATTTGGTGATAGGAGCAGGTGCAGCATAATTTCCCAGGAATTTAGGGATGTCATGCCTAGGTCTCCCACTAAGCAAGGTGTCTCCATAAATGTGCTGAAGAAATATTACAGTCTCATAACCACCTGGATTAAACTGAGCACAGCTATGGGGGCTTTCTCCTGTTAGTGAATCCACAGCATTAAAATCATGACAAGGCACTCAAATATCCCTGTGATCTTTGAGAGCAAGCAGAAGGGCTTCTTTTTGTGCTACTTCAGGATTACTGCACCTCAGCTGACCTGATTTCAGGCATGCTTTTCCAAGCAGAAGATACACCATCCTCACTTGTGCCCCCACCTTAAGCAAGATGCAGAAACATTCCAAGTTTTTCTAAATCACTCTGATACAGCAACTTCCTTCTTGGGTTCACAATCACATGAATCCTGCTGCATAAACCACTCTCTCTAATAAAGCTAATTCCAGTGCTACAGGTGGCTGCTTCCCATGTCAATACAGAGCATAAAAGAGTGCAACACCCTAATCAGACTAAGTCTTCCCAAAGGAGTCAGGAATACCCAATTATAAAAGAGTGCAACATAGCAGTTTCCTAATTTAAAAATCCATCTCCCCTCCTTTTATTTCTAAAGGATTAAAAATCACTTCCTTGGAGTGGTAGTATCACCCTCATCTCTTTATGGAAAACTTCACAGAGTTTAATTCAAAGAGGCATTTATAAACTCAAGAAAGATATCTCAGACACTGCTGACAGTTGTACAAAATGATCAGGTCAGGGTGCAGCAGATGAAAAAAAGTCATCAGGAGTGGTGAAACCAAGACAGAGCATCACTTGCTGCTCTGTTGAACACTAGTGCATCCACAGCTGCACCCTGCAGTCAGCTCTGGTCTCTGGAATTCAACAAGGGCACAGGGCTGTTACAGCTGCACAAAGAAAAGCAATTAAACCACCCAGAGGCAGCTCCTCCAGAGGTGAGACTAAAAAGGCTGGGATCCTGCACCATGGAGAGGAGGAGGGCTGGCTGCAGCATGCAGGAGGCCAGGAGGGCACAGGCACAGCACACGAAGCTAGCAGGAGATCCACTTGAAGTGCCAGAAGTGCTCCCTTTCAGAGCAGGCAGCAGATTTCACACAGTAGCAAGTTCTGGGAGCTGAACAGCATCAGCTGCCTGGCAGAAGTTTGGTTTCAGAGTGAAGACATCCACAGACATCCAGCTGCAAATGTGCCCTCCCAGTCCTCCTCAGCAGCACAAGCAGGAATGTGAGAGTGTGTCCCTCGCTCCACCAAGCCCAACCCTGCATCTCTCAGGGGTGTTGAAGTCTCTCAGCTTTCCACATGAACTCCAGATCACAAGGTTTGAAATGGCTCCTTCTGAAAAGCACCCTACAGCTGCCAAATCCTGGCTGTGGGATGTGGGAGAGGAAAGCACTGAGGCACTGCTGTGCCAGACAGAAGGAAAGTGAGGCCTCTCTTCAACAACTGCTTTATTTGCAAACACTGTTAGGTAACTGGGACGCAAACACTGCTGTGCTTCCACCTCCATAGTGCTCCCACGTGACACGGGGCTGATCCAGGCTGAGGATCCAGGCTGAGGGCAGGCTGCCACCAGCATCCCATGCTAACAAGCAGGAACATGCTCTGGGGCACACCACAGCTACTGTGCCTACAAAATGGCTGAATTCTGGCTCAGGCACCCCACCTATGCAATTCCCAATCCTGATACTGCGACTCAGCATCTTCCAGCACTCTGCTAAACCATCTCCTTGGGAGAGGACCAACAGCCTTCTCACCCAGAGGGGAAACAGCCATACAAACACACCTGACTAAAGCTTAAAAAACACATCCCTGATAAATGTGTGGGAGTTCTGGTGACCAGAGTAAATTAACTCATTCAACAACCTCAGCAATGAAAAGGAGGTGAGGGAGTCAAACCCAACAGCCTCAGGAATGCACAACAGCTCTGGTGGCAGGAGCAGTGCCACTCTGCCTTTGTCTGCTGCCCTCACCCTTCACTGTGTTTTGAGATACCACAGCGTCCAGATAAGCTTAGTGCATGGAAAGAAATAGCATGGCACCAAATTTAAGGCTTTTCTGGAGAAAGGTATGAGAAAGACTGCACAATGCCTGTGCCACTACCATTTAGAGGAATCCTGTTTAAGCTTTAACTTATCTCCTAAAAACCAGACAGAATTGTAAAAAAGGCCCCAAGCTCTGTAGGTAATGTTTTCTGCAATACTGCTGACATGTAACAAACACTTTCTGAAGCACTATCATCTGCTGCAGACACACACTCATGCCCCACCCTGGAGACAGCTGTGCAAGGTCCCAACCAGCTGGAGGAGAGAATGCAGTAGTGCCAAGCAAAGGACATCTCTGAGTTCACAGCACAGGCAGGCAAAACCCAAAACCCAGAGAAGACAGATCTTCATCAAGGTGGAGAAAAGCCTCCTACAGACTCAACAGATGGGAATATATCCTTGCTCTTCAAAACCCTAATATAGCTGGCTAGAGCTCTGGAAACACATCCACAACTTCCATCCCTCTGTTCAGTTCAGCAAGTTCAATTACAGGGCTTCCACTGTCACACCAGAGCACTCTAAACCAGTGAGTTATTTTCCCTGAAATCAGCTTTAAGACATCAGAGCTGATTTCCATACTTCCAATGCCTCCACCATCAACTTCCAATACCCTCACACCATCCATGAACTGGAGAAATGGGATCCATGCAAAGCCAAAGATGCACAAAGGGACATGCCTGGGGTGACACAAGGCCAGGTCAGGCACTGACTTCCATTCCCAGATTCTTGGCTATGGCACATCCCCACATGGCACTACAGCTCTCAAACAACAGGCTCTCACTGGCTGATCCTGGTATCACTGGTTAAAACACAAACCTTGCCTTCATCTTGGCACTTCCACAACATCAGCCTGGATGAGGAGCAATTTTTTTTCCTGGCAATTTGGGAAAGGCAGGAATTGAGATCATCCAGTGTTTACTTCTGAAAACTACATTATCTTCCTGATTTGAAAACTCCATCCAGAGCAACCACGCTCTCCCAGTAAGGCTGCACCCACCACTGGGGCCAGGAAGTTTTTTCTTTGCACTGATGGCAACACAGTGAGCAACTTGGTTGTCCTTAACAGCAATACCCAACAGCAACACACAGACTACAAGTCACAGGGGAGGTCTGTGTCTTCCCAAAGTACTGCAAATTCAAATATATATCCTCAGGTTCACAGACACATCCACCTGTATACAGGTAACATATAAACAACAACAATCTGAGTTACATTTGCATCTTGACACATCAGTGTTTTCAATTATGTGTGATGAGCAAGACCTACAAGTTCCCAAACTCCTTCACCCTGGACATCCAAATTTGCTATGCTACAATGCATGGGAGGAAAGAACCTTCCAGCTGTTTAGTCATCACTACATGAAAGCATAAAAGATGTCACTGCTATACAGGAATGACCAAATATTAGAGGTTTGTTTAGGAAGTTCTTTTGCTTCAGTTTTTGGGTGGGGCTTTTTTGGGGTTTTGTTTGTGGTTTGGTTTTGGGTTTTTTTTTACATTAATATCCACTGCATATTCCAGACTGTACATGGCATGTACCAGTCTTCTAAGTTTGGTGAGTGCTGACTCTGAAGGAAGAGAAGTACAGGGAAGGCAAGGGAGAAGGAAGTTTGAAGAGCTCCATTTTTATTTAATACATACCAGACTGGCCATCAGCTGGAAATATATCTGTAAAAGAAAAAAAACAAAAAGAGATCAGTATTGGTTGCAGCTGGAGTGCAAATCATATTTAAAAGGTCTCCTCTCTCGATTTGTTTGCTTTAGCTAAACAGAGGAAGTATTTTCTTAGTATCTCAAGTTAAACATCAATCCAGCTTGGAACCCACCTCAATTCAACCACTTGTTGAGAGAAAGATTTTGAAGGAGTCTGTGTTTACCCGAATGCACTGCTCTCATAAATAACCTTCTGCATTGGCTTCTAGCAGACAGCAGTGAGCAATAAAAAAAGGTTGTTGAGATGTACAAAGATCCACACAATGAGCTACTTGGTGGCAGCCCACACTCCCCCTGAGAAGCAACATCAGATGGAAATCTACAGAGAACATCTAACAGGGAATACAGATAGAAGCCAAGGCAAAAGCCAAGTGAGCATTCTTCTGGTTGTCCTTGGTTCTGCAGCCACGAGGGACATCAGCAGCTGTGCCTGGCTCTAACACAGCACCTACACCAGACACAGATCTCCATCAGCAAATGGACACCCAGGGCCTTGGCACATCACCCATCACACCAGGAGAACCCTTCCCTTTCCCAGCTCAGGAGTGTCTGGCAGCAGGCACAGGCCACTGCACAGGACAGATGGAGTCTGGGGGGCTCAGACCCCAAAACAGATTATTCAACCTCCCCAGCCCCCCAGGCTCTTTCCAGTTAGAGTACAGGCCCTTCTCTTGGAGGGCCTTAGGTATTGCTGGGAAGATGTGTATTTAAGTAGCTGGAAGGACCAGACATTTAAGGAGCACACAGGACAATGTGTGTGGAAAACCCCTGTTGATAAGGCTTCCCCAAAAGATATGAAAACAGTACTTTTGAGAGAGCAATACATCATGTTTTCTTCAAGGATCCTGGAAGAGGAGGGGGAAGGAAGGCTACCAGCAAGGCAAGGTCCTCCTGGGACAGGGGCAGGCCCCTGGCTTCTGCTTATCAGCTACCCAAAACACACATACAGCTGGAAAGTCACAAGAGTTGCAGCAAGGACTACCCCTCAGGCAGGGCAATGCTCTCTGGCCTGGGCTCAGCTCATGCAGAAGCAGCAAAAACACTCCTCTGCCAAAATAACTTCTATTTCTTTTCCTTTGACTTGCACCATGTTCAAAGCACTTTCAGGCAGGGATGGCTTCATCCCATATAGGAACAGGAAGAGCCAAGCAGAGTAAAAACACCCAGAAGTTAAATCAAGACTCTCTCTACCATTATTACACAGTTATGGTCTGTGGCCATTTGAAGGCATGGTATCAAGGACTGCCCAGCACATCCAGAACCGTCTCCAAGCACCAGTTTTAATCCTTTGCAAGTTGCATGTTCTACTGCAATCCTCCACCAGCCCAAATGTCCCAAATGCATTTAAATATCTTGTATTTCTGTATGGTCACTGAGGAGTTCAGGCTTCTACATCAGCAAGCTGAAACACCCTGTAGTTCATAGAATCGTTAAGGTTTCAAAAGAGCTTTAAGATCTCAAACAAGATAGAATTTATTTCCCTACTTGGGCTTCTCTGCAAAGGAACAAGGTGGTAACACTGGTATGCCACCTGTTTGGATCAGCTGTACCAGATGCTACCAAAACCCAAAATAAATAACAGCACCACAACGGTTGATAAAATAAATTCCTTTGTGCCAGCCAGGAATTTAGCAAAGCCAGGCTTTGGCAAACGTTCCCCTTGCTGTACCCTGAGGGGTGCAGTTCTCCACTGCATTCCTGCTAGGCTGTCCCACCAACTCCTCATCAGACACACCACAGCAGAAGCAGCCATTCACAACAGGTCCAGGCTCTAGACACCACAAATGCCACCAAATCAGGCACAGCTGCAGGTGACCCCTCAGCACCGTCTCCTATCAGACATGTCACCACCACAACCCCAAACTCACATTGCCCCAAGGTCTCAGCTCACTGCTGTATTCCCCACTGCCCTGTCCTGCTCTAGATGTGCAGCAATGCTCTCCTGGCTCCTCCTGAGCTCAGCCACAACTCTAGAGCAGCTTTGTCACTACATTTACTAGAAAAGCAGTGACTCAACTCAGTGGTTGAGGTCAGAAAGCAGAAAGCAAGGACCACATGTGATGGCCAAGGACAGGTACAGCTCACAGTCACCTCAAGAGGCTTCCCAGGGCAACTCCTGTCAAGGAAAGACACTGGCATCCAGTGCTCAGTCCCCTTGTCTGGGAGAGGCTGACCTTGTCCAACTCATCACACCTATGATTAACACAGATTTGACTCCAAGCTCTCCAGAGCACACTGAGAACATGGGGCTTGCAGGCAGCTTTCCCCAGAGCTGAGAACAAGTACAGAACAGTCTGTAGGACTTGCTTTGAAAAATGGGGCTGCTGAGAGGACACATCTGAGGCAGGGCTGGTCAGGGACCAGCAGGCACAACGACCCTTTGGGACACCTTTTTCCCTGTCAAGCACAAGTGACTTAAATTAAAAATTAGCCTGCCAATTAAGGACAGCACCTCAGGTGCCCAAGAGAAGTCTAAATCAGGCAGTGCCTTCTTTTCCCAAGAAAGCCATTGTGGGGAAGCAGGCAGAAACATATGTGGGCAGCAGGTAAACCCCTGGGCTGCTCTCCAAGGAGCCCATCTCATACTCAGCAGGGCTGAGGCTGCCTGTCCAGGTCAGCTCCCTTCCCAGCCCTCCCAAGGCTAAAACTCAAACACCAACAACTGAGGCACAGGGACAGGTTTTGTGCTCAAAGTCTCAACACAGAAAGGTGAAGCCAGCAAACCAGCCCCACCAATTCCTCCCACCACACACACCTGCTATGTTCCAAGGCACCCTGATGCCAGGAATCCCAACACTGGCCAGAGGCTGCAGGACAATGCTTCACAGCAGCTTTCCACCATCCTGTCAGCCACCTGCTCAGCAGCAGGCAATCCCTACATGGGACCCCTGCCTGTAGAACACCCTCCCAGCCATGCCCAGCCTGCCCCTCCAGGCAGCCCAGTGGGAAGGAGCAAGAAACAACAGTATCTCAATGCAAATGAGCAGACCCACGAGATTTGGTCCCTACAGTCTCACACTTCCTCCTCCTTCTTGCACACAGACACTTTTGTTTCTCGGCATGCACCCAAAATCAGAAAGATGTGGTGTCTGAACTAAGGGACCCAGTGATCTTTTCACTGCAGCACCAGGTACTCCCCAAGCCCCTGACCATTCTCCATGCAGCCTACAAAATCTCAACAGAAAAACACATTCTCCAAATCCTCCTGTTATCAGCAAAGCAGGGTGGAGGATGGAGTGAGGAGGAGGAGGTCAGGGGTGTGCATGGCAGCTGGCTGGATGCTGGGACAGGCAAGGAGCATCCCTTTCAGGACCACCAAGTGAGGGTGCAGATGTGGTACAGGGGTGCTTGCTCTGAGCACCAATACCCAGAGTTGCTGCACACAGCCCAGGAGATAATATAAATTGAGGGCAGTTGTCCTTATTTTAGGTGGTGCTGGGGGTGGATCTCAATTTCAATTTTTGCCTGATGGTATTTTTACACAAAGGAGAAGACCGTATGCTAAAATGGGGCATTTAGAGAGAAACGCTGATGCATCCACACACATACCCCCTTCCCCAGGGGCTATCTGGCTACTGCTGCTATTCAGGTATCTGGGACAGGTCCAAGAAAGTCACCCCATTTATGGGCCCCCATCTCCCCTCCAGTGCTCCCTGAGGAAACGCACACCAACCACGCTCACAGTGCTGAGCCCAAACACCCGCACAGCAAGCCTGTCTTCTCCCTGCTGAGGAGCTACAGCTGGGAAAGGACCTCCACCACCCAGTGCCTGTCCCCAGCCCCCCTTTTCCAGCAGGGACACTGCTGCCTCCCTGCAGGGCCCGGGAGGCAGCGGCTGAAGAGCAGCTCATTATCCCTGACGCAAGAGAAACGCTGACTCGTTATTACAGCAACCTGCAGCCATAACTGCCGAGGGGCTGCGGCCACAGGCTGAGTGCCAGCAGGAACCAGCTCCCTGCTGGCCCCCACCTCCCATTATTACCCTTCTGCTCTCCCAACAACGGGGGAAAACCACCTCAGAGCGCTTTATGCCACCTGCCAGACAGCAAAGTGCACTGACTGTGGAGCACACTGGGTGAGGGCTGTGCACACATGGGTACGAGCACAGAAATGACAGCCAGCTCCTCCCAGTGGGACATGGGGCTCATCCACACTGCCACAGGAAGACACCAGCTGATTTGTTCTGGCTTTCGACCCGCGAAGTTGTAACCAAATCATCCTCCACGTTTGGCAGACAAAAGACTTGGACGTCAGCAAAAAAAAATGACCTCTCCAAGGTCACAGGGGGACTGGCAGCAGGGACGTGACCAGAACTCATCACAATGGCTCCAAAGCTGCAGGGCTGCACTGCCTGCCCAGGAGAGGGACTGGGCAGGGAAATGCTGGGGGATGGCAGGATCAATTGGTATCTCTCCTCCTAACCTGACCTGCTGCCCGGCAGGGACAATCCAGGCAGGAAAAAGGTCCAAATTACACAGTCCAGCATGTAGTGCAAAGAGACCAGAGCTGCTTGACTCTTTTCTCCAGCCCAATGCAACATTTCAGTTCAAATCACCTGGCCCCCCTCGGAGGCCAAGGCAGTGCCTGCACAGGTTCCTGAGACAGTTACAGGACTCTTCAAAGGAACACTCAGCAGAGAAGGGGGTGAGGTCTCCTAGGGAAAAGCAGCAAAGCAAGAAACCCTAAACCCAAAGATTAGCATGGCCAATTTGATCCCTCCCAAGATCTTGTTTGCTTCCTGTTCCCCTCCTTTGTTACCTGCTGAGCAGGATTGGGGAGGGCCCACCTCTCAGTCACCCAGATCATTCCAGCCCTCTCCAGCTGCCAGGTCCATGCTAACACCTCCCATGCCTCTCAACTTACTGTAAGATATTTACCCCCTCAAAGAGAAGCTGAAGCATGAGACAGATGGATCAATCCTAACATGATGCTGGCTAGGTCCCAAGACCTGCTAA